AGTCTTGTCTCAAAGAGTTCTGTATCTCTTATTTAGTTATTAAATCATCAGAATGAGCATTAATTCTGTGAACCTGGGTTATAAGAGTTGCTTGAGGGGAAAATACTGGTGATACATTTCATTCTTACTGGAGTTGATCTAATTTGAGATTGTGAGTGGCTCACTTTTTATTCATAGTAAAGCTTGAACTACATGTTCATTTTAAAGTCCTGAGACTATTTTGAAATCTTGTGAATGTACAGTTAGTTCTGAAGTACTTACATAGACAGTAGTTTTCAGTATTAAATGTGTAACCATGAAAAAGAAATCTGGTCTGGGTTTAAAGTATTATCTTTATAATTATCATTTGAATATAAATATAATTTATCCTTTGTAATTTTGAGTGCTTGCTTCTTTCCAGAACTATGCAGAGACATTCTGCATGTTCTCTCATTTGGACTCTACCACAGTCCTCAGGCCTGTTTTCCTGATAGAGAACGGAGGACATCCAGAGACTGTCAGTAACCTGCCTCCTGTCACAAAGCTTGTGACAGAGCAGGATTGAGACCCGGATGAGTCTTTGTTCTAAGCCCGTCTTTTCCCATTCTGGGGTCCCGTCTCCATTCTCAGTACAGGTAGCTGAAGACGATTGCTCAGAGCAGCCTAGAACAGTGTTTCCCACCTGGTCATACCTGCTAAGTCTAAAAATTCTTCTTTAAAACCTTGTCCCACACAGGTAGGAGAAATGCAATTACTTTTTTTTTTTTTAAATGACTTTTAGATGTGGTTTTTATGTAACTTTTTTTTTTTGAGGGAAACTAAGGGAAGGGAAGAAAAAATTAGAATGTATTTGGAATTTTTTATTCAGTCTTTGTTCAACATAGTATTAGACTAGAGCTAAAACCTTAAAGCACTTATTAGTTATAAAGATGAACTGAGCAGTAATTTCCCATAGTAATTTCCTTTGTGTCCGATTTATGTACAGAGCCAGTGGTTACAGGGCACCCCCTTGTGGATTACTAGAGCAGTGGTCCGTTTCAAGAGCCGAGGGCTTTTGTGAAGGGCCTTTCTAATCTAACAGCTGTGCCCTATAGTTGTGGTTTGTAGAAGGGGTGTAGTAGAGAGGTATCTGCAGGAGAATCAGGTGCTCATGGAAGCCCATCTCCAGCCCTTTTCTCTTCCTGTCCTGGGGCTTGTATTTCCTCTGTACTTTATAATATGATGAGGAGGAAAACCCGGCATGTTTTAAAAATCACCTACTGTTCTCCACTTTATTTTTTGGTCCAGAAGAGTAGAGAAAGGATGCCTAGACACAGTGCCCATACTCACTAGCTTTGGTGGTGCTGGATGGTCTGCATGGGGCGGTGGTGCTTCTCAAGGCACTCTGATAATAACGTGAACTTCCTTGTGCCAGTGGCTTTCTAAGCTGTATCAGAGTGTAGCTAACCGTGATAACCAGAACAAACCTTGGAAGCAAGTAATCCAACCTTGATGACGGCTGAGCTTTAATAAGATAAGTTTAATCCGTTGTCTGTTGTGCTGCGAGACAGTGACTCACCTCGTGTTACAGAATGAGCTCATCTGAGTATTGATGATAGGCTTGGATTTTTGTGTAATTTGGCCAGAGGGTGAGTTTTTTAGTAATTATCCAAATGAAGGGTACTGGATTCTTTCCCATTCCCGAATGCCGCCTCTTTGATATATTCCTAGAAGCTGTTATTCATTCAACCTGAAGGCTCCCTCTACAGTGGCTTCAGGTTTAACGAGGTTGAAAGAAAAGCTGAGCGCAGTCTTCCCAACTTAACCCTTATGGGTTGCCCCAGAAGATGTCTCTGTTGGAGTTTTCAGTGTAAGGACTTCGCCTCTAGTTACTATAGAGACCGGGGGGGGGGGGGGGGGGTCAGACATTAAGAAAATACACATTCCCAACAGTGTCACAGTAGTGAGTGTTTTATATTGATTTATAGTTCCAAAACCCTTTATTAGATTGTGTTTTGGAAGCTCCCCCAGGACAGTTCTAGAAACGTCTTTATCTCACTTACAGAAATCTCACTCTGTAGCGGACCTGTGTGTTGGACACTAGTGACAGAAGCTTTTCCACTTGCCTTGCCTCTGAGGACTTACTGTGAGGGAGTCAGGGCTGTGCAGAGGGATTTCCACAGAGCCTGTCATTACAGGATTCTTTATGAAAAACGTAGAGAATTGGAAAAAGTTCAGTAGCCGCTACCTTCATGCACATGTGTAATCTCTCTCCTACACACTAACAAAAATCTGTAGTCTGCCTGTTCTCCTGCAGCAGAGGGGAACAAATACAGAGCCCCACAGCCAGACATCATGCAGAGAGTGAGAGACCTTGGAACACACGGCTCTAAATGGGGTGTCTCCATCAAATCCCTCTCCTCAGAGCTAGGGAACCCCAAGGAAGGGAAGCGGAAAGTGTAAGAGGCAGAGGGGCTGGAGGACACCAAGACACCAAGGCCCTCCACATTGACATGAGCAAAGCTCGTCTGACCTCACAGAGACTGAAGCAGCCTGCGCAGGGCCTGCACAGGTCCGCCCAGGTGGTCCGCACCAGGTCCTCTGCGTGTATGTATCGTGGCTTTCAGTTTAGTGTTTTTTATGGATTCCGGATTGTGCAAATGAGTGGGTCTCTGGTTCCTGTGCCTTCTCTTGGGCTCTTTTCTTCTATTTGTCTTGTCCAACTCTAATGTGGTAGTTTTGTAGTATTATACTTTATTTTGTTATATTTAATATTATCCCTTAGAAGTGTGTTCTTTTCTAATGAGAGACAGAAAAGGGGTGGATCTGGATGGGAGGAGAGGAAGAATAAAGGGAAGGGAAACTGTAATCAGGGCATATTGTATGGAAAAAGAAAATATAAGGAAAGAAAAAAATGTATGATCTTCCTTCGTGTACCACTTCGATTCTTTCTTGTTGCATGTCCTTTTTAAATTTTTAGTGGTTACCTTGAGAATTACATGCATCGTCATCTTTATAAGTGTTTGCGTGTGGGTGTATGCCCAAGCACAGGTGCCCAGGGAGAAGTTATGGGTGGCTGTGACTAGTTTGTCCTGTTTTTTTGTAGGTTTTTTTGTTTTTTTTTTTTAACTTTGCAATAAAATACCCTGGCAAGAGCAGCTTAAGGGAGAAAGGGCACATTCCAGCATGCAGTTCCAGGTTACAGTCCGTCACGGCAGGATGCACAGTGGGTTTTAAGGAGACTGGCCACATCTCCTCACCTGAGTCAGGAAACAGAGAACAATGACAAGCAGCAGGGGTCCAGATGCTTCTCCATCCGTTTCCAGTCCAGATCCACAGGGGAATGGTCCTGGTCACTCTTCGCTGGGACTTTCTGCATTGGTTAACTGAGAATAACCCGCCACGGGTGAACACGAGGGCTTAGTCTCCCACATGATTCTAGATTTCTTCCAACTAACACTTAATAGTAATCATAGCAGAGTTGAAGGCAAAAAAAAAAAAGTGAGAGGCTACATTCCACCTGGAAAGGAACCAGGAAGGTCAGAGTGACTGTGAGAGCTAAAGAACATTGTGTCCTGACCAAGAAGGAAGACGGGACTATTGTCAGCATACACATCTAACTGCAGGGCTGTGGAACTGCCGGCACATACTACTCTGTAACTGGAGAGAGAGAAAGACAGATTCTCTGTGGTAGAGACGTTCCCATCACATTGCTAGTAACAGCTGGATGCTACCGATTGCTAATTTCCATAGTCTGACTGTGGTACTGAATAAATGCAAGAAAAGGAAGGAAGGAAGAGAGGGAGGGAGGGGGATGAGGAAATGAGTAGTATAACCATGGGAGCCGGCACACACACAGAAAACTGGTGTTCATGAGCGCATGCCGAAGATTCTTAAGAGGCCTGTAGTTGAGTAACTCAGTAACTTTAAATGGTGGAAGGACTGTGGAGCTGAGGTACAGAGCTAAATAACCACCATCTCGTTTCCTTTGGTGCTCAAAGGAGCTGGGTTATTCTGACAGTAGAGGGGAGAAACAATGTTACACTCGTTGAAAGGACAGCCACGGTCCCCAGAGTTTTTCTCTTTAGAGAACTTTTTTATTTTTATCCTTTAGAACCCTCCCAGGATATATACAGATTTATTCCCTGTTTTTTTTTTTGTTTATAGTTAAGATTATCTTTAAGATATTTAAACTGTCTCATTAGGATTTGAGATGTGTTATTACTGTAGTTGTTAATACCTCCTGTGTGACTGGGATTCGGCATTTCAGTAGTGAGACTAAAATTTGTGTGTGTGTGCTTGCTTCCGATTTCATATTTATATAGTGTATTGCAGCAACAGTGTGAGAAGTAGCAGTTACCAGAAATTAAATTTTAAAACTGCTTCTAAATCCAGATGCTTTCGTTGCTCTCTAAAGGTGTCAAAACTTTTTACTTCTTCAGTTCAAAATAGAAATGAGAAGTACCTCTCCTAGAAAGAACTGTTTGTGGCAATTAATGAATTTTAAAAATATGTGTATGTGGGGCTGTAGAAATGCCTCAGCAGTTAAGAGTACTGGCTGTCCTTCGAGAGGACCTGGGTTCAATTCCCAGCAGCCCACAAGATGGCTCACAGCGTCCTTAACTTCAGTCCCAGGAAAGCCAGTGCTCTTCTAGCCTTGCGCACATGCATACATGCAGGCAAAGCACCCATACATGAAAAATAAAGGGAAAAATTGTAGTGCGTGTATATAGCACATTTGAAGTGCTTGCGTGGACCCCATGGACCCCATGGACCTCCGGGGTGTTAGAGGCAGCCTCTGCGGGTTTGCCTGTGTGTCACGGACCCCGGGGTGTTACAGAGGCAGCCCCTGCGGGTTTGCCTGTGTGTCACGGACCCGGGGGTGTTACAGAGGCAGCCCCTGCGGGTTTGCCTGTGTGTCACGGACCCGGGGTGTTAGAGGCAGCCCCTGCGGGTTTGCCTGTGTGTCACGGACCCGGGGTGTTACAGAGGCAGCCCCTGCGGGTTTGGCCTGTGTGTCACGGCTACTCCCTTTCTTTCAGCTCAGTCTGAAATTGAAGCGTCGGTGTCGGCCAGGAACATCAGAAGGCTGCTAAGTTTCCAGCGCTATCTCAGATCTTCGCGCTTTTTCCGGGGCGCCACAGTTCCTAGTTCTCTAAACATTCTAGATGACGATTATAATGGACAAGCCAAGGTTTGTACAACTTCTTCCAAAAGATTTGAGTTGCTTGTTAAGTTACTGGAACCACCTCCCCAAAATACTGATTGAGGTACCTTTTTCCTGTCTGAATTGAGCCAACTTTTCAGATTGGGGGCTGATTGTTTGGAAGCAGGTCTAACAGAACAAGGAAAACTTCTGAGAAAAGTAGTGAACGCGTTTGCATTTATTATACCATTAAGTAATGAGTGGGGTCAACAGAACAGTCAACTGTAGGCTGGCAGGATTGACGCTGGGAAGACGAGGAGAGGGCCCAATCTGATGCCTCTGTGCTGGAGATACGGAAGCTGGGGGCTGCGCAGCCTAAGAGGCAGAGTTCACCCAGGGGCTCCAGACAAAAGTCCGGGGAGATGCTTCCATCGGCTACATCTTAACTAAAGCCATTGTTTTTTAACAGTTATTTCTGTCACTCTTACAAACTTCACAGGAAATTTCTTAGTAGGATTGAAGTGAAATGGGTTTTTCTTTAATCAGGTGGGATTTTATATAATCTTGAATTTTAATTTATTGGAAATTATTTTTTACTTAAGTTTTATAGGCCAGGTTTTCTAAGGTTATGTAGATTGGCCTTGAGGTATCTTCTTTGAAGTTATGTTAAAGTTTAAAGAAAAGAACGTTTTCCTGCTTGAGAAGTCAGTGGGAACTGTTGACCCTCTAAAATTTAAACTGTGGTGTGAACTCTGCTGTTTCGGTTAGCATGTTAACCTGTGTGGTGGTGTGATTTAAGTCTCCACAAGTGTCACACTAATGTTGCTTGTGGTGGTTTATTCATCGTTGTATGTACAGTGAACTTTGGGATACAAAATAAAGTATTTACTTTAAAAGCCCACGAAATATGGACTTAGGTAGATCTGCTTACCTAAGTACGTAGTATCCCAAAAAGTTAATTGGCCGGTTCTATTGGTAATTTTGAATGATATTTAAAGATCATCAATAAATACCCCCAGTTCCAGGGTCTTTTTAAAAAGCTGGTGAGCAAGCCAAGTGTGGTCATGCACGCCTTTAATCCTAGCGCTCTGAAGCAGAGGGAGACAGATCTGAGTTTGAGGTCAGCCTGGTCTACGTACTGAGTTCTAGGACAGCCAGGGTTGTATAGTGAGACCTTGTCTCAAAAGAACAAAACAAAACAAAAAAACTGTGGATGGCAGATAATTGAATTGGGTTTCAGTGTGGGGAACCCAAGTCCAGAAGTGACTCCTCAGTCACCATCGCAGCTCTCCGCCCTGGCCGAGCCAGTTTTTGCCTGTTTCCCAGGCGTAAGTGAGGACTGGCGACAGTTATCGGACATACTCGGCAGTTAGCGAGTACCCAGTGGCCTTTATAACTCTTGGGCGGATTTTTAAAATCTGATTTCAGAATATGCAGCATATGGGTTACATGCTGGTAAATTATTTCCAAATTCTCTAAGTATGTAGATCATAGGAACAGGTTGAAAGACTGACTCTGACCTATACGTAATTAATTGAAAAACAAAATAATTTGTTCTCAAATGGAGTTTATTTCTGTAGGACAGTTTTTGAGCCAGTTGGAAATGTCTTAACTAAAAGGAGAATGAAAGCCAAGTGTGGTGGCACACACCTGTGACCCCCAGCACTCAGGAGGCTGAAGCAGGAGAATTGCCCATGAGTTGTAGACTAGTCTGGGCTGCATAAGTGGGACCCTGCCTCAAAACTAGAACATAGTTTTTCCGGGGTGACAACCACTACAAGAACATGCCTCATGCAAAGGATCTCCCCATCCCTCTCCACAAGACAAGAAGGGGAAACAGAAGAAAGGTCGTGTGGTGCAGAGCCCCAGTTCTCACTGTAGGGATGTGCAATGCCCAGGATGCTGTGAATCTCCGCGGCCTTCAGCCCTGCAAACAGTGGTCCTGTGTGGTGGCCTCCCCTACGGCAGAAAAGCAAGGCCAAAAGCACCCGATGTAAGATGAGTGGGAGCCATCCCAGTAAACACGTTTGGGATTGAAAAATACAAAACAAAACTAGAAAACAAAATTAACAAAGGCCAATTACCCTTGGTGTTTCTCCAAGTAAATAGGCCACTTTTCATTTCCATCTAACTTTGTTATGGACTATCTGCAGAGAGTGGGTGTTACTGAGATTAAATTACAGGAGAAATGTTTGGTTCTCATTTCAGTGTATGCTGGACAGAGTTGGAACTGGAATTTTGATATCTTTCTGTTTGATAGACTAACAAATGGTAAGTGAAGCATTGGACTTACTCGAGTTACTGTGGTCGCTAGTGCCTCTGGAGAGGGCCTCAGCGTGGTGTGTCCTTGTTTTTACTCACTTAGGCTATGAACCTAGTGACAGCATTTTAAAAGCCAACAGAAATCATTTCATAATTTTTTGCTTTTATTATTAGTCTTGATAGTAATCAAAAGACATCTCAATCATGACTTGGCCAATTGGCAGTGTTTTGCTGCCATTTTTAATAACTCAGACTGAATCTCATAGCAGTCTTGATTTTCCCTTTAAAGTTCTTCAGCGTGTGACTATTCACAGTACCGTTTTCAGACACAGTATTC